AATAGATGAGGATCTATAATATCATAATAGATGAGTAATTTAATAAGAGTATAGGGCCATAATGGATCATAATAGATGAGTAATTTAAAAAGAGTATAGGGCCAAGGATTGAACCTTGAGGTTCAATGATAAGGTTCAATAATGGTCTGAGGGGCGGCGATGTCCAACACTTATTTCGACCCCTGGATGATACAAACACTTTTACATTTTATATTATTTTTTCCATATAGTAAGTAACAAAAAGATACAATGTCACTTGCAATGGAAACCTTGTACTGCATCTTGAATTAAAAAACCATAAATACCAAAGTCTAGTAATACTAAAATATGATTAAATTTGTCAAGTCACATACAAATTATGTCAAGAGCTCTTTATAGTCTGAAATATCTGGTATTTTTAGTGACAAAAGTTTTGCATTTTGGTGGGACTCACATGCAGTATGTGTTTGTAAGTATAATACTGAATGGAATCCTGAAATATTTTGAGTAGGATTACACCATTTTGGTGGTAATAAAAGTCTTTTTTGAAAATGTTGTCTTTTACCAACTTGAATTGAGACATACTGTTTCATTTACATTGTAAGTACACAAATTCTTGATCTTTTTCTGTTAATTCCTCAAAACATTTAATTTTCTTGATTTTGGTAAGTTTTACGTCATGAAAATCTTTATTTAATGATTTTCCAATACAAAGTTAGATCTAACAATGCACTTTTCATTTTTAATTTTAATCTACTATCTAAAATGATATATTTAAAAACAAGTTTTAAAGTATAAACTTAAACGGTTTAATATAAACTAATTATTTTTATAATATTCGTCAACGAAGCGAATTACAGAAGCATATCATAAATCAAAAAACTATTTTAAACGCTTTTTAAAAATTGAAATACTTTTATGAAATTGTAGTTTAGTCCAAATTACATGATTATTTGTCAAAACTTGTTTTTCAAAACTCTGATTTGTTTTCAACTGGTCAACCCCAAGATTTTATTTTGGTAGTGTGTTTGTTTTTTTTTGTTTTGTTTTGTTTTAAATGAAAATTATTCTAGTCTATTAAGTTTAGTTTTTGTAGTTTTTTAAAAAATAATAAAGTTTAGTTAGATTCCTCAATTAAACTGTACTTAATTTTTTTATTTATTGAAGACAAATAGTCATTAAGAGCAATAAACTGTAGATTTTAAGGTTTTACTATTGGTATATATATATATATATATATATATATATATATATATATATATATATATATATATATATATATATATATATATATATATATATATATATACACATATGTATATATATATATAAATATATATATATATATATATATATATATATATATATATATATATATATATATATATATATATATATAGTATTTGTTATTTCTAGCTGTTTTTATAATGGTTTTTTGTAACTTGATAATGAGGGTATTGTTACATATTATGTGGTTTTTATTTATTTGAATTTTCATGCTATATTTTTCTATACAATATTATATCCAAAAATATTGTTGGCTTAGCATAGGAACAGCCACAAATAGTTATTAAGACTAATCCAAAGTAGCATCTGTCATTATGGTTCTTGTGTTATTCAGGTTTTAATTTTGCTGATTTATGCAGACAGCATTTTTTGTACCATAATTATTTATCATCAAATAGCATTATTTAATGAACCGAGTGATATATCAACCTGAAACTTGGTATATTTTTCATCTTTTAGATTAACATCCTTTTATTTAAATCTTATTTAAATGCTGACTCAGCATAAGAGAAATTCATATAATATGACATATCCAAACAAATGAAGTTTATAATTTTTTTTTTTATAAACTAAATAAAATTCATGTTGTTTCTAAAAAACATTAATTTTTATTTTTTCACCTCCTTAAAATAGTAATTTAGTTTTTATGTGAAGTTGGCTGTCACAAGCAGACAACATTGAAGACAACAAGAAGACAACAACAAGACTTTAAGCCCAAAATATATTTTCAAGAGATGAAAAATATGAGTTATTATGGAAAGCTGGTTTATTTGGTTATGGAAAATTGTATACAACAGTTTGCCGTTACCATAAGAATTCTTTTGAGTTGTATTTCAACAGGTTTCAGAAATGATAAAAAGAAAGAAGGTTTCAGAAATGCTGTAACCTCTTTTAAAAAAAAAGGTAATAGGAAGAAAAATGTGAAATTTATTTTAAATCAGACTAGTTTAAAAAAGTAATATTTTAATTGATCCAAATCCTAATATTTTTAAGAAATAGTAACAAAGAAATGTTTTTTTTAAAAATAAAAACAATATAAATCTTTTAATAATTTTTTAAAAAGTATAAACTGATAATTATTTTTCATTTGTTCTTTACAATGATGCTAACTCCTTAATATTTAGAAGTTTCTTTTTTTTTATAGGAGTTGTAAAGATACTGCTATCAATGGCAATGATTTAAAAAATATGAGGCATTTTTACTGCACAAGTGTGGAAGTTATGCAGTGAAAAATTGTGAAAAGGTACAAGGTGTAAATAAAGAGGAAATAAAATCATAAGATTAAAGCTCTAGTTTAAACAAGAACCCATCTTGTAATAAAAGTCTTGAAATGTGTCACCTATTAAGTTTAAATCAATGCCAAATCATTGAAAGAAGCAACAAACAAAATAACTTAAACCTATAAATTCTATGACTTCATTTACACCATTTTGTATATCATTAACCTCTTCAATTGATAATTAAGAAAATGAAATCTATACAGTTTTTGAATGAAGTGTGACAAATCATACTTGCTTAGATACAGATATTCGCAATAACTATGAGAAATCATGAAGAATCATTATGAGGCCTTGAAAAAATTTTACAACTTAAAATAAGATTTTTTAATTTTTTTTTATTATTCCAATAACAAGTATTGTTATAAGAAAAAAAAATTTAAAATCACCACACTCTTTACGCTCTCTCTCCCCTCTCCTCCCCCCCCCCCTTCTTTAATTATAGGTAATAAGTAACCCTTCTTGGTGCTTGTTTTCATTAGTTCAAAAACAAAATTCAATTTTTTTTGTAGAGGAGGATTTAAAAAAATAATAAAGCAAAATCTACCACATAAGGTGACATGAATTAATTTTTCATGTTCTTTGAGTTCTTGAGTAAAAATGTTATTAAATTGAGAAAACTAAATGTTGCACTGAAGTAGTTTAATACTTTTTTTGTATAATTTTAATATTTAAATGCAATATTGATAAACCTCTAGGGTGCTCCTAAGATCAATAGAAATTTTTTGAAATGTTTAGCTTCCACCTTTTTACAATATTCTTTTGGGCAACAATAGAACCACAAAAAATATTTCTTTGATCAGACAATAATTTGAGGTCACCCAGCTTTTATTTTAATCATGCAAAACAAAATTTGAGCATTGTTTATTTCAGAGAGTAATGATTGAACTGACAAACTGATAGTTGTACAATAGTATATTGTAGTTGTTTGATATTTAAATTTATAACATTAATACATGTATTGTTACAGAAAAAATTTACTGTTCAGTATTTAATTATTAGACATTAGGCTGTTTCAGCAGCTTGGACTTTAGATAATCTGGGTAGCAGCTGTGGTGATTGGCCATAACTTTGAGGAGGAATTAGAACTGGTCCTCATTGTGGGTTATTAATTTGTAAACTCATGCAAAAGCGATAAACGTCCTTCAGCATTGTTATTAGTGGCAAAGAGCTTGTTGAGATTGTTATACCTTGTATGTCATTATCTCTGTCTCCCCATGCTTCAGGTGCTAAACACAATAAATCATGACCAATGTGAGAAAGATCACAAGTGCATGAAATTACCATGTCCTCCAAGTTGTGATGGCAAGCTTTGCTCTAAAAATGATTTGCTTTGAACCAGGTGGAACACATTGCTTGGACTGTAATGCATTCATCATTTTTTGGAACAAAGAAGTATATTATTGTCCAAACAAATAATTGCAATAATAGCCCAATAGGCCATTTTTACAAAAAAGTGTATAGTTTTTCAATAATGCTCATGAAATAACACAATAAATGTAAATTGGTGTAAGTACTTAAATTACTTTCAATCTATTCATCTTGCAATTGCATTTCTTGTACTGTAGTTACTTTGTACAATAATAATTGATGGATTTTGATTATCTTGCAATTCACATATATATTTTCTACAAAAACAATGTTTTTTGCTTCCAAGAGTATTTAATTACTTAATGGACTGATGGTTTTATTGCTATAAATCTGAAATGACCGAAATATCAATTTGTTAAATTAGTGTTTCATGAATAAGTTTCAATTTTTTGTTTATTGAATTTTTTTGTATTAAACCAACATAAAAGCATTAATAATTGTATATTGTGCTTGGGTGACCTCTAAGCATCAACCAAATGTCCTAATATTTATACATTAGCATTCTATCATATAAACAATTTTAGGGGGTGGGAGCTTAACATTTTAATTTTTCATGTTTAAAGACCATTCTAATACACTCATTATAAAATTATGAAAATATATAATTTTACCATTATAAAAACAACTTAAAATGAAAAAATTATGCAGTAGAACTTAGTTATAAAAGAAGGTTTTACATCATTTGATAATGAAGCAGTATTAATGTGACCACGGGGTTACAGAAACCTTGCTTACAAAATAACTAAGTAAGTTAAGTTTTTTTTTTTTTGAATTTTCCTCTAAAATGTTCAGCAAAGTTGTTTTTTTAAATTAACCTTCCAAAGATTCCAGAGGTGGCCACTATAGTTAAGGAAGCTTCTTTTTTTTTTTGGAGTTTTATTTTTAATTCTTTCAACCCTAAACTCTGAAACATTTTGTTAAACATGGCTGCTGTGTTAAACATAGATACTGTGTGAAGATTTTTATTGGATAATTCATTCCAGTAAATCAGTAATTACTTATTTAAAAAAAAAACTATTGTATAAGTTATTAAAAATATTTTAATATATATATATTTTTTTATGGATGTTGTTTTTTTCTTTATAGATGTTGTTTTTCCTGATGAATTAGAAGATTTTATCAGTGAAGCTATATTTAATGAGTTTGACACTGTTGTTGAAGATGGAACATTAAATGTGGTATGTATATTTCATGGTTTTGACTTTTTTTAGTGGTAGATAAAATTTTGTATGTATATCTTTGATTTTTGTAACAGTAGTATTCAAATAACAGACAATACCACAGACAAGTTATAATTTCAATGCAATGAATAAATGTTTATAAGTAGTAATTAAAGCAGTTAGATTTAAAAAAATTAATTATATAAAATATTTAAATATTTAAATATTTTATTAAATTAATTTCAATTATTTTCAATTATTTTATATAATTAAGTTCAAATATTTAAATATATGTTCAAGTGTTCGTTTTATTTTTAAAATAAAAAATTTAATCTTTTGGCAGGACATGCCCCAGTTTACTTAAGTCCCTTTTGACCCATTCGAAGTTTAGAAACACAAATATTTCTAAACTTCAGAACATGTCATTGTTTGGAAATATTAATAGCAACATTATAGCTCTTTAATGGCTTAAATACTAATTTTTATTAAAGGTAAACTGATGTTCATGTTAAGCATAAGAAAACTTTATTATTTTTTATCAGACTATTACATTATCTTTATATATCTTTAAACTTTTTTTATCTATCTTTTTTTATTTATTACTGATCAATCACTAATCAATTTTGTAAAGACAAAAATTATTGAACATAATAATATTGTATAAAAATTATTTTACTATAGATATCTTATACTTAAATTTATTTATTTTTAAACGTTTTTGTTGTATTCTTTGATCAAATTATATTGGATTTTATGCCTAAAAGTTTATTCTAGGTTATTTATTTTCACTGTTTTGTTGTGGGACATATATTTTCCTTTAGGTGGACCTCTTTAATTTTGTATTTAATGTATTTGATTTTAATAATTTGATACTTGATTTAAAGAAAACAAACCTGGGTATGTCATTTCAAACTGTAACAGAACAGATACCTTTAAAATACATCAAGAGAAAGAACAAGGATGTAAAGCATGTCACTGGTTTGTGGAATGAAAGCCTGGTTACAAGGATGTAAAGCATGTCTACTGGTTTGTAGAAGGTTATGGGAGGCGTTGATAAAGCTGATATGCTTTGTTTCCTATGACACTTCAAGAAAATCCAAAAAGAGGTTGCATTGCATTTTGTTTGTACTCATTGACGGAACAATATGTAGCTCTTATGTTGTTCACAAAAAAATAACCAATGAAAATATGAAACTTATTGACTTTCAAAGATTAGTTGCAGAATCCTTGGTTACAAAAGGATTGGTAAGCCAATGTTATCTCCTACAACAGACTTTCCACTAAAAAAAGAAGAAAGTCAAATTATTTTGTAGTGGCATCAATTCATAAAGAAAACCTTGAAATTCATTGACCAGAGCACCATTTAAAACAAGGTGCAAAGTCTGTTTAAAAAAGAATAATGTTTTTAGTTCCTAACTTCTGAGATAAAATATAGGGGTGGTAATCCGAAAATAATGGATCGTAGCGTCACTGCAATGATAAAAAGAAGTATGTTTTTAATTGTCTTCACAATTAGAAATAGCAACAAGAAGAAAGCTATGAGTTAGTCTTGACTTAAAACCAAAAGGGAGAAATACGATGTGCACTGTCCACATAAGCACTTTCTGAGGTTGTATCAGCAGCTCCCACTTAGAACCTGGTTTTTTGTAGCCAGTCCTTTCTGTAATAGTGTCCAATAGTGTCATTACCAGTGAAATTGCCTTTAAGGTCCATGAAGACTAACACCATTTTAAAGTCTCTGATGACCTCTCATTAAAAAACATTTTAGTAAACATCTTCAATGCATTCAGCAATATCTTGACACTGATGTTGTCCATTTTGAGATGCACAGAGTGAGCCATCAGAATGAATTGGTAGTTGCTTAAGTTGTGAAGCAATACAGCTTTGTAGCTTAAACTTTCTATAAATAGGCACTATTCACTCTGGTTACATTAGGTACCAATAGCCTTAAAAAGGGTGGTCACATTATTGCAGAAACAGCCTTTCTAACTGAAAAAGACAAAAAATGTTTGGTGATGGTTACTCAGACTTGTGACTTTCATGTTTTTATCCACCATTTGAGCCTGGATATCAGAAGCTCAACATTTGACTTGATAAGACCTGTCTCTGAATTATTTGTTGACATCTTTCTAGTTAGGTAAGTATGACCTCATCTCATCTCAACCCCACCTCTGAAACTGTAAATTGTATCTCTTATATCTTCCTTGATGTCTGGTTTGCTGCTTTCTCCTGAAGATAGGCCTCACACCTTTTACAATATACTTTCTTGAAATACTTTTTCCCTCTCGTCTTTATAAAACACACATAGCAAAATGCATTTTATAGATGAAAACAACTTCTTAATGTCATTTGAATGAAATAATTGCTTTTTAAATACCATTTGTTCCCTTGTTCACCTATATCACTAACTGAAATGTTGGTTTTTGTCACCTGAGCTTTTATACTTGTATGACTGTACGACATACTTTTGGACAGTTCAAGTGTTCTTGAAACTTAAAACTATTGGATCTTCGGGACAATCCTAACAGTTCAGGAATACTCTAGAATAATGTATTCATTGAAAAGTTCTGTATTCAGTATGAATCAAGAACTTTTCAAAAACACTCTAATTTCAAATTATAGTTGTCCTGGTCACAGAAGAACAGTTTTTCTGGAACAACAGTTATTTTTAATTTGTTTTTTTTCAAAACAGGTTAAGAAAAGCTCTTTCAACCCAAGGTCAAAATAAAAATAAATTTTATTAAATAGTGCAATAGGGTGACTCATGCTATTTTTTCTTCTTTATTGTATGTATTCTAAAAGCATTTTTCTGGATTGTATGAATTCTAAAAGCATTTATATGTAATTTTAAAAAATCTAAAATGTTTTAGCTGCTGAAATTTGTGATTTACTAATGTTTTGATAAAAACAATAGTAAGTTTTTGATAAACTCCCATGCAACAACAATCAAAAATTTAGAGGTTAGCGACATTGTGATGGTTTGTTATGGGGGAGGGGAGGGGTGTTTGATTTTGTGGCACAATATTTCTCAATAAGTTTGAAATTTATAAAACACTTTTTTTTGATTAAAAGAGTGCCTAGCCAAACATAAACCCTCAGTTGATGTATATACACTCCACTGCAACCATTTCAATTTAGCTTCACTTGAAATTGAATTTTTAAATTGACCTAAGTTTTATTGAAATTGACTTTTTAAACGAACTTAAATTATAAAGTAAATAGATTAATATAGATTTCATTTTGTGATTAATAATTAAATTGGTAGAATCTTTTTTAGTTATTTAATTTTGCAAATTGATATAATTTTTATTATATATTTTATCTTTATTCTTTAAACTTGCTTTTCCCCTGTCAACTAGATTGACTGCATTATATATCTATATCTGCAGTATATCTTTTTCAAGACCTATAAAATTAGAAAGCTTTAATATACACTTTTTTCTTGTTCTTGATGATATTGCCATATTTTTTTTTTTTTTTTTTTTTTTTTAACATCTTCACTTCCAACAAGGCTGCAAGCAACCACTATAAGAGTTGGAAGTTACTGGAAAAGAAAAGACTAAATCTGTAGAGCAAGATAACGATTGACTGATGACTTAAAAGATTGCAAATTATATGAATCAGGAAAGCAAGATGAAGGAAGCGAATTCCAAAGAACTGATGTTCGAGGAAAAAAACTAGAAGAATAAGAGTTTTTGAAGCACTTAGGAACAGTCACCGAAAAAGGATGAGACTTAATTGAATGGCGAGTAACACGAGAGTGAATTTTAGTAGATGGCACAAGGGACGCTAGCTCTTTAGAGCAGTGCCCATTATAGTATTTGTAGAAAAGAGAAAGAGAAGCAACATTACGACGATGTGACAAAGGTTGGAGATTGGCTGCAAGAGCAGGTCCAACTATGTTTACAATTCGTTTTTGCACCTTGTCTAAAAGAGAAAGAGCATCATTAGAAGATCCGCCCCAGATGTGGCAACAGTATTCCATACAGGGACGGATTTGAGATTTATAGAGATAGAGAATAGAATCTGGAGTAAGAAAGTGTCGAGCTCGATAAAGAGATGCAACCTTAGCAGATGCTAATTTTGCAATGGATTTGATATACGGTTTAAAAGAAAGATCAGAAGTAAGAGTTAATCCTAGAAGATGAATGGTAGATGACTCATCTAGTACATTACCATTCATAAATATAGGAAGATCTAAATTATTACGATAACGATTGGCCGAATAAAATTGAGTTTTATCTGAATTAAAGTTCACCAGCCACTGTGAGCCCCATGCTGTAGCAGAAGTGAGATCCTTTTCAAGCTCAGATACCCCCTCCAAGCAATCAGAGAGTGTAGGCTTCTTATCGTGACAAGAGTAAATGGTAGTGTCGTCAGCGAATAATGCCACCTTAGATGTGAGAATATCTGGAAGATCGTTAATGTAAATTAAAAAGAGTATAGGGCCAAGGATTGAACCTTGAGGAACCCCTGAAGTTACAGGATGTGAAGAAGAGTGTTGTCCATCGAGGACAACTTTTATACTACGATTGGAAAGAAAGGACTCAATAATCTTAAAGACGTTACCAGCTACACCATAAGAAGAAAGCTTATGGAGAAGACCAGCATGCCAAACTTTATCAAAAGCTTTAGAAATGTCAAGTGCGATAGCCTTAACCTCTCCACCTCTATCTAATGTACGGTAAAACCTATCGGTTATTACTGTTAGCACATCAGCTGTAGAACGAGAAGACCGAAATCCATATTGATGATCAGAAAGTAAGTTATTTGATTCAAGATGAGAGATTAAGTGTTTGTTGATTAAAGATTCAAAAACCTTGCTTATGACAGGAAGAAGACTAATGGGACGGTAGTTAGATGAATCAGATCGCTCTCCGGAATTTTTGAAAATAGGGATAACAGATGATGCTTTCCAGCATGATGGAAAACAAGACTCTGATAAGCACTTGTTAAATAGTTTAGAAAGTATGGATGAAAGCTCCGGAGAACACCTCTGCAAGACTACAACAGGAATG